TTTCAAAGGCTAAAAGTTATAATGTAACCTACAAAGTTTACGGAATATAACCTCATTTTTAGAAATTATGCCACAAATGGACTTAAAGCCGAGCAGAAAATATTATATTATATATGGTAACTTCRAACGGATGTACCATACACAAAAAGTATCAAATGACGCGCTGCAGTAACCACAACGGAGCGCCAAAAAACACAAATTGCATTACGGTTCGTTATTTTATTTCAAAAAATCATTTTTCCGTTTTTCATTAAGTAATTGTGGTTCGCAAAACGGTAGATTTTTTTGTATTTTTTGGCATTTAAATCCTGTAACAGCGCGCATTTACAACCATTTATCCCGACACAGTTCAGCCTTGGCCCTCGCCTGCCGCTCAGAGTGGAGCTCACCCTCATCAAAATCCAACAAGCACTCAAAATTCACTTTGGCACTTATTCATTCCATTATCGAAATCCCAACAAAGCTTCATTGTGCGAGTGAATGAGTGGTAAGCGAAAATAAAAAATAAAAAAATAAGTAACTGTATGAATGTTTGRCGGTTTCACGACGACTGGCTGACATTTGTCATTTCAACTTCATTTTTTCTTGCTTTTAAGGATATTTTATTWATTTATTAAGACATTTGTAGTTGTAAAGTCGCCGCTTGAGTACAAATGTCAAGCACTACAACAACAGAAGAAGCTATAAGTTTTATTAAAACTTGCGGTCGCCAGATAAAGACAGCCCCCAGCTGGGGAATGTGAATAACTTGGTGCAAAATGTGCGAAAATAATTGGAAATATTACAAAATAATTTTCAAAAACGGAGAAAATGACAAAATAAAAGACGCCGTTATACCCGAAGTTGAGATGATGGTGTGAGGTGAGCGCTGGTGTGATGTGGGTTGGCGAACTTGACTTTACGCTGCTTTCTTCCGCATCTTACACATACCGGCATAACCCAACCGAAAATACATGCCCACACATTTTCCTTGCCTACGCCCTCCGCCTTCGCTTCMTGTAATTCAGTTAGTTTGACAGGCACACGTGTACGACAAGTGGAAAATTGACGTGCGATTATGTTTTTGTGAAAATTAAATTCAAAGTATCAAGTGTCAAAATTATTGCTCAACAATTACGTTAAAGTTTCCTTTGACTGGTGCGGCTATAAATACATACACACACAAATTCATTTGTGTGGATGTGTGTGTGTTTTATGCTCTGGATAAAAATATATTTCCTTATACACTTATGCTGTGGGAAATACTTTGACTCTTTGGGGCGTGGAATGGTTGACGAACTGCTTTTGCGCATGTCCTGTAAGGAGGTATCCCGTATGAGGAAGCTACCCGAAAATACACTTATATGTATATGAGTATAAAAAATTTTCATAATTCGCACGAGTATCGAAAGAAAATAATATTCTGGAGTATAAAATTAGAAATAAGGCGAATATAAACCTGAAAATGTTATCTGACGACAAAACGAGGTTCCCAAAAATTGTAGAAATTCGTAATCCTTATTACCGGAACTTCTAAAGGTCTTCCAATTTAACAATATTCAGAAAATATTTAGTTATTTGTTATTTTGAAGGTTATCGCTAGGGCTTGGTAACCCAGAACTTGAATAGAGATATAAAAATATATGACCAGATCTCATGGAATGTGAAGTAGGTCCACAGTTGAACAAAACCAACCCAAACTCCTTATTTTAAACGAATATATTAATCTGGTAAT